TGTGGCGGTGTCCCATATAAAGTGGAGGAAGATGGGCATGGATGTTAGCCCAGGGCCAGTCTTCCTCAGCAAAAAGAGGAGGATTGGCAGATGTTTGCTCAGGGCCGATCTTCCTTGCAAAAAATAAATAAATACATAAATAAACACTACCTCCTTGGTGGAGCCTTCCTGAGTCCCTCTTCAGGCAGGCAGACCACTCCTCCATCTCTACCATTCCACCTCACTTTTTGCAATTATTTGTTGATACGTCTCTCACCCTACTGGACTGCACAAGTGTGGAATCATGTCTTAGTTTAGAACAATAACAACCCTAAATGTTATCATTAGCTCCAATTTACAAATTAGTAAACTAAGGCTTAAAATAATTAAACGACTTGCCTCAGGTCACCAAATTAGTAAATGTAGCATAGATAGGATCTGAACTCAAATCCACTTGGACTTGTATTCTTTCCTGTAGTGTCTCTCACCTTACATGGTTTCAGTCCCAAAGCCTGGCATACAGCAGCAATGCTTAAGAAATGTTTATTAATTCAATATCCATTTTTGACTAAAATATCTCGATAAAAATAGGAGTACCTGGATACTTCCTTAGTAAACTAAAAAAAAACATATATACATATCTACCTCAATCCCTAATCCAGCATAATTTAAGGATAAAACACTATAGAAGTATTCCTACTAAAGTCAGGAACAAAACAAGCAAGTTCATGATCATTACTTTTTTTTTTAAAACATTCTTTTAGAGAGGCATAGGGCTTCTTCTCAATCATCTTAGTCAGATAGGGCCTGAGGAGTTAGACCCTGGGCTGGTCCCCTCTGGCCTCACAAAACTTTTCCCATTTATGGTAGTATACACTAAAAATATAACTTTCAATACGTGCCATGATGTGAAATAACGGGGAAGCACTGTACTAGCCACACAATTATTAAAGAGAAATAAATTAGTGATATAAAAACTGATATAAAAACTGAAAAGAAGGCCAATGTATTGCTATTTGCAGATTATGACTATACTCCTTCATAGTCAAAGAAAACCAAATGAAAAACTACTATAAACAAGAGGTGGTGGTGTACAAAAACTGACATACAGAAATCAGTACTTTCCAATAAAAATGCAATCACTATGCAGAAATTATAATTGAAGAAAAGTTTTATTTATAAAACCCCTTAAAAAGGTAAAATTCCTAGGAATAAATGTAAGAATTAAGCAAGATCTACCCAAAAAGAAACAGTTTAATGTTTCTGAGGGACATTAATCAAATCTGAACAAGCGGAAGGGCTTATATTCTTATATAGAAAATCTTTAAAATGTCAATTCTCTTTAAAATGTCAATTCATCTTTAAAATGTCAATTCTCCCTAAGTTAATCTTATAAATTTAGTATCATCTCAACAAAAATACTTTTATTTTTTAACTAGACAGACTCCAAAGTTCATATGTGGAAAAATGAACTTGCATGAAGACAGAGGAAAATTTTGAAAGAGAATAATGAAGTAGGACTAGTCATGCCAAATATTAAAGCACATTATTTTTAAAATATTATAAATGCCCCCATTATTAAAATAGTTGTACTGGCTCATGAATAAACAGATCAATGGAACAGAACAGAAAGCCCCAAAATGGACTCAAATGCATATAGGAATTCAGTATATGATAAATACGGGATTTCAAATCAGTGTGGATAGAGCCAATAAATAGCGTTGGGACAAATGGGTAGCCATGTGGAAAAAATATACCACTGAGATTCACAACACAGACCAGGATAAACTTCAAATGTATCAAAGATTGAAAAGCAAAAGAACAAAAACAAAACCATCTATGTACTAAATGAAACCAGGGACAAATTTAAATATATATAATTTTGGAGCAGAGTAGGTCTTTCAGAGTATGACACAAAACCTAGAAACCATAAGAAAAGACTGATACATATGATTATACAAAAAATAAAAATAGGTGCGGGTTGTTTATTATGGAGGCGCACCTAGTTCCCCCAGCACGTGGCGGTGTAGACCGCAGCGTGGTCTCCTGGGACGCGTAGTTTAGGAGACTAGGGGGGTTAGATACAAGGTCTTAGCTTAGACTGCTTTGCGCGCTAGCTTCTTTACCCCAGCAACTGCTGGGAAATGTAGTTTTAGTCCTTTGCAGAGTATGTGGCTAGTTCTGAGCAGTCTCTGTTTTCTGTATAGAAGCCGTCCCAGGATGAGTGGGGCAACACCCCGCAGGCTATGGAAGCTGCCAAGAATCTGAACAAGTCCCTCTTGGATCTGCATGCTCTGGGTTCTGTCCACTCAGACCCCCATCTTTGTGACTTCCTGGAGAACCACTTCCTAGAGGAGGAAGTAAAACTCATCAAGAAGATGGGCGACCACCTGACCAACATTCACAGGCTCGCTGGCCCCCAGGCTGGGCTGGGCGAGTATCTCTTCGAAAGGCTCACCCTCCAACATGACTAGGAGCCTCCGCAGTGCAGCAGCCTTTGAGCGGCCCCTCTGGCAGCCCCCTGGTGTCAGAGCTTCTGCCTGAGCCTCTCCCTGAGGCCACCAGGTAGCTTTTTAACCACCCTGGAGCCCTCTCCCAAGCCGTGGACCAAATAGAAACAATAAAGCTTCTTGCAGCAAAATAAATAAATAAAAATAAAAAATAAAAATAAATGCTTGAGAAAAAACACTATAAGAAGTGAAGAATAACAATAAAGTAGGAAAACATATTCACAATTCTTACTATAGACTAAGAACAAATTTCTCTAATATTTAAAGAGTACCTACAAACCAATAAGAGACTTAAAAAAAAAACAAAACAAAATCCGGGGGCCAGCCCTGTGGCATAGCGGTTAAGTGCTCACACTCCACTGCTGGCGGCCCGGGTTCGGATCCTGGGCACGCACCAATGCACCGCTTGTCAGGCCATGCTGTGGCAGCATCCCATATAAAGCAGAGGAAGATGGGCACAGATGTTAGCTCAGGGCCAATCTTCCTCACTAAAAAAATAAATAAAAAGATGGTCAATCTCATTCATAAGAGAAATTCAAGGTAAAACTACACAAAGGTACCATTTTTAATAATCATATTGGTAAAGAACAAAAGTTGATAACATACTGTGTTATCACACTTCTCAGAGTACAGAATTCTGATTTAAAATTGCTAGTTTCTGATGGTTGCCTCTTCTAATTTCCCACCAAGATATTCATGCAATTACAGGAAACAACAAAATGTTCTATATGGAAAACAAAACTAGACAAACCAAAAATGGCCAGAATCACTTCTTCACAGAGGGCTTTCCTGGCCACAAGAGTGGGTTAAACAAATCTCCTTAGTATACATCCCCACAGCACCTCACATGTTCCTTTTCATAACACTCCTGACACTTGTAATTACTGGTTTATAACGTGTAGTTCCTTCTAGATTTCTTCCTTGGAGGGAGGGGACATGACTGATTCACTGGCACCTAGAATAGTATGGTACAGAACAAGCTCTGCATATTTGTTAACTGCCCCTCTACCACAGAGAGAGAGGCACTGTTAGGAACAGCAAGCACGGGGCTATCTGCAGAACCTCTGCCTCACAAAGGGCTAGACCACTGCTGAGGATCCCAATGTAATTTTTTAAAAAATTCCTTTGATGACAAAGCCAGGATTATAAAAAATATTAAGCACACTAAGTGGTTACATATGACTTTTAAAGGTGTAACGAATGTCCTATTTCAATCCTATCAGTGATCATGTATAATCTCATTTACAGATAGTATTAATCTAAATTTAAGGTTCTTTGTGAACATGAGGTCTGACCATAGGCTATTCTCTACCTAATTGCCCATTTTCCTTGCCTGTCTCCCACTAACTGAGATTGAAAATGCCAGATACTCACTTTACCAGTGTCCCTTCCATAGTCTGTGGCCATGCGATACATTTCTTGCTAATGGGTACATCTCTGGTAAGGGGAAAGTTATTGGGAAAAAAATTTTTTTCCTCCTTGACGAGTGAGAAGCATGTGAAGAGAAAGTCATATTATTGCCTTTATCCTATTTTTGCTTTGGATGCTTGTAATGTGAGGATGTGCTGTCTGAATCTACAACTGCCAACTTGCAGCATTGAGGGGGCCAAAATTTGCTGGATATAGGATTCTGGGTTGACAGTTCTTTTCATCTAGCACTTTAAGAATGTTGTGCCACTTCCTTCTGGCCTTCATGGCTTCTGATGAAAAATTTGCTGTTATTTTTCCCCTGTATTAAGGTGCACTCCCTCACTGCTTTCAAGACTTTGTCTTTGTCTTTAGTTTTCAGAGGTTTGGTTACAATGTATCTTGGCATGGATTTCTTTGGGGTACCCTGTTTAGAGTTCACTCAGCTTCTAAAACCCGTAGGTTTATGTCTTTTGTCAAATTTGAGAAATTTT